GCTGAGACAAGAGGATCGTGTGTTCAAAATGAGCCTGAGCAAAAAGCGAGTTGCTAAGCAACTCAGTGTGACCCTTCCTCTAAATAAAATATAAAATAGGCCTGGGGGTGTGGCTCAATCATCGGGTGCCCCTGAACTCAATCTCTGTACAAAAAAAAAAAAAAAAAAGCTGTGTATTTTTAACTATTTTATCTAATCGAACATCCTTGTGATATTATGAAAATGTATCACTAAGCTTAGCCAACCTCTTCCCTACATCAATCTTAAAGCTACAAATTCTACAAGATAATTTCTGAAAACTATAAAGCAGGTCTCCTTGCCTGCCTACATAAGGACTCCAGTGAAGAATCTGGTAAACCTACAGATTCATGGTCTTTGTTCCATGGGCATAAAAGTTCATCAAAGCACTTCCATGGTGGAACATGTTATGAACAGTAACATGAATCTGTGTATTATCAAGGCCATGATAAAACTAATAAACTAATTTCTTAGTTTGCCTCAGAATAAAATAATTTCTTATTTGCCTAATAGCTACGTTATCATTTTATGTCACCACTTTCTCAATATTTCTCTTGTGAAACAATGAGGAGCCCTATGTAGTGAGGACTGGCTTGGGACACCTGCCTGGATGATAACAGCACAAGCATGAGTTGCCACAGTCCAGTAGCGAAGCCGATGGACATTATAACCCAGTATAGGTCAGGATATGCACATAGGGAGCAACTCTCCTGGAACTGGCTACTGTTTGCAAATTTGGGGATGAAGGTACCCCAGAGGGAACCTGCAACCTTCACTCTCTACTTGCCTTCTCGCGCATGCTATGATTCCCAGTTGGCACTGGCCCTGAGATGGAAACTCCTCCTGGGGTCGCCTCCAACAGGAGGGGAGGAATAGGATGCAGAGAACTTCAGACACTGGGATTGCAGATTAGCTGGAATGTACCCTTTCTTTTTTTCCTGCATTTTCCTTAGTGCATGATACTTACACGTAATGCTGTGATGTTATAAGGCAGTCACACATGCACAAAGTAGAACAATATAACTTTGCCATTACCCTCCCAGCATCTCTTCTTTTTCCTTATTCTTCCCTCCTCCTTGTGCCTGGTCCCTTCCTCTACTGATCTCCCTCTGATTGTCATAAGAGCTCCCTCTATACATTTCCTTTCTTTGTAGCTTCTACACATGAGGGAAAACATGAACCTTGACTTTCTGAGTTGACTTTTTTCACTTCATATATATTCTCCTGTTCCATACATTCTCCTGTAAATAACAATTTCATCCTTCTTTATGACTGAATGAGCTTCTACTGTGGATTTACCCCTCATTTTCTTATCCATACATCTACTGGTACACATGGAGGCCAGTTCCATATTTTAAGTTGTGCTCCTTTAAATCTGGCCATGCATGTATCACTATAATATCCTAACTTCAATATTTTATGTTAAATACCAAGCGATGATATAGTTGTATCATGTGGTTTTTCATTTCTAGTGTTTTGAGGAACTTCCTACTGATTTCCACAGTTACAATCCCTCCAAGGATGAGAATGTATCAATTTTATTCCACAATATCTCCAGCATTTATTATTGTTTGTATTCAAATGACTGCCATTCTAAACAAAGTGAGATGAAATGTAGTGTAGTTTTGATTTTCATTTCCCTATTTCCTAAAGATGGTAAATTTATCATATATGTGTGTGTGTATTATATATCTGTATACATATATTTTTCTCATTATATATGTATGTGTGTGTATTATATATCTGTATACATATATTTTTTCTCATTATATATGTATGTGTGTGTATATATATATATATATAGACATACATATATATGGTCAAATGTATTTCTTCTTTTAATAAGTGTTTACTTAATTCAATTCTTTATTAATTGGGTTATTTTTGATTATAAGATGCTGGAGTTCTTCATGCATATTGGATACTACTATTCTCTCAGAAAATTTATTCTCTTCCTATGGGTTATCCACATTTTTGTTTGCTTTGCCTTGCAGAAAATTCTGAATTTGATGTCATCCCATTTATTAATTCTTCAAGTTAGTTCTCAACCTTCAGGAATTCTCCTGACAAAATTGTTGCTTGCAACCATGTTGCAGTGTTGACTGTTTTCTCCTAGGAATTCATAGCTTATCATCTAATTCATAGCCCTTTGATCCATGAATTGAATTTTGTGCAAGGTGAGGGACAGGGATTCAGTCTCATTCTTCTACAAATGGATAACAAGTTTTCCCAGCACATTTTGTTTTTTTTTTTTTTTTTAAATAAAGGCTGTTCTTTCTCTAATATATTTTTGGCACACTTATCCAGGATCAAATGACAATCTGTGTGGGTTTGTCTCTTTGAATTCTATTGTAATCCCTTTGCCTTATTTCTCTGGTTGAACATGTTCATGTTTTAAGAATATAATATCCTCAAATTTCAGAGACTTATTTACAAATCTGTAAATTTAAGAACTATTATTCTTTAGTAGTTAGGTCTTTCAAACTTTAGGATTCATTTTCATATTAATAAATTACTTAAATGTGGATTAAATTAATCATGTGACCATATAGCATATTTAGTCAATCAACATAAATTTCTAATTGCTCATCCCCTAATGCAATTTCTGTTTACAGTACTCTGCCTCTGAATACATAGGAAGGAAGTTAGTATATTATGCAGATTCCACAGTACGAGCAGTTAGAATTCAGGAATTGAACGTATCTTGCCTTCTGGGACACTGTTCCCCATTCCCTTAACCTCAGTGACCACACCAGGAAACTGAAAACACAAGGTCAAATATGTGGATAATATTCATGCCTTCCCTCCACCTACCCGCCAGATGTGAGAATGTCAACAATTTTCCTCCAATACCTCATCCCAATATTATTCTCAATTATCCTTTCGGGATTCATTGAAAATAAGAACAGAGACATTTACTCTAATGTGGCCTTAAGAGACAAATCCTTTAAAGACTCCATCCCATTGTACTGGACCCTGGTCCAGGGAGGGACATGGTCAATGGGTTCTCTCTCCATCTCTTTCCACTTCCCATTCTGCTGCCTCTTACTTTTGCCTTCCCACACTTCTCTGTCTCCAAGAGACAGACAGTTTGGCCTGTCATCTCATGGTATTGCTTATCATTCTTCTACGTCCACATTCTACATGTATTCTTGAGATTTACAATGAACAAACAGGGGTGGGGAAGAACTGGGGAAGACCAACTGAAGAACATCCTGTACCTGATACCAGGGGATCATCACACTTGTTGAGCTGGAGGCATAGGACTTAGTATTCAAGGGTCTTGGTGAGCCAGACCCTAATAATAACCTCATTTGTTATTAGGTTGCTAGAACATCCCATTACCCATAACTACTCTTCTCTCTACATAAAGTGCTTCTGAAAATTTTGGGGTAGTTATTCATGCAAACTTGCAGGTTGCACAGGAAATATCTTCATCTGATCCCCAGAAGTGGTCATGTTCTGTGTGGTTAAATGAAAGAGTTTAGCTATCCAATAACCCACAATGGAAGCCACCAACTCAATCTTCAGGAAATGCACAAAATGCAGTGTCATTTTCTCCAAGGTCATCAAACCTTATTCTCATGAGAACTTTGCAATGCTGGTAGACAGCAGTGCTAAGGAAAACCCACACGCTGACTAGGGATTTTGCTCTCAGAACACTTGAGGTAGTAGCCTGTCTCGTGTTTTCTTAGAAGCTAGCATCATTGTTTTCTCTTCCTTTACTAATCAGTACCTGGACCATGAGGCACCAAAGATGTGAACCCCATCACAAGCGCACAGTACAGTATCAAGGGAAGCAGCATCACAGAAAATAGAAAGACCACAACTACGGTCTGCACAATAAAACCTGCGAGGTAACTAGTGATATACTTAATTCATATTCTCTCTCTTCTTCCCAGCTGCCATGAGATAAGTAGGTCTACCCCGCTTCACCATTCCATCCCATGTTCTGCTTGACCTCGGGGCTAAAGCAAGGCAATCAGCCCATGATGGACTGAATGTTATAAAACCATGAGCCAAAATAAATCTTCCCTCCCTTCGGTTGAATTTTCTCTGGTATTTTCATCAGTGCAATGGAAATCTGACACAAAAATCAAACTGGAATTTATGAAAACTCTATCAGATTGCTGGTTCAGTTTCTCACCCTGTGCAATTGTTCTTCAAAGGACCTGAAAAAATTGAACATTTTCACACATTTCTTTGCTTCATTACCTTTCATGTATAGGAGGTAAATATCAGATATTTAGAGTGTTTCTTTTCCACTATGAGTGAAATGGCTTTTAAAGCAACTGGGAGCACTGATTTACCATATTTTTAATGTTCAGAGTTTCTATAGTGTGAATACTTTCATGTATTTGAAGATGACCAGGAAAGTTGAATGATTTGTGACAATTATTGCATTCAAAGGGCATTTCTACATCACCATTTATTTAATACTTATTAGGAGTAAGGAAAGAAGGTATTTCTGATTGTTTATACTAGTATAGCTTTGTTATATTAGTATAGCTTTGATCCTATGTGAGTTATTTCATGTCGTAACTGCCACAAATAAAGGCTTTTCTACATTGTTTATACTTGAAGGGCTTCTAACCAGCATTTGTTCTTGTATTTGAAGGTAGGAAGATCAATTGAAGGCTTTCACATATTGTTGACATTCATAAGGCTTCTATCCAGTGTGAATTTATGATTGGAATCTGATAAGAATACATGAAACTTTTCCTTCATTGCTTATATTTATAAGGTTTCTTTGTAGTATGTGTGCATTTATACACTTGAAGGTGAGTGGAAATCTTGAATGTTTTTCCAGATTGTTCACATTCATACAATCTCTCTCCAGTGTGTGTTCCCTAGTGTTTTTCAAAATGAATTGGAATAAGGAAATGTTGCACCACATTGTTTACATTCCTGAGGCCTCTCCCCAGTATGAGTTCATTCACAACATGAAAATAAGCACAATCAGTGAAGGATTTAACACACCATTTACATTCATAGGGTCGTCCCCTGTATAAATATTTTTATGTACACAAAGCCCAAAGGTATAAGTGAAGGCTTTCCCACATTGTTTACATCCATAAAGTTTTTCCCCAGTATGAGATTTTTCATATCTTTCATAATAAGTCAAACTAGTGAAGGCTTTACCAAGGTCATCAATTTATACTTATAGGGCCTTTCTCCACAGAGATAGTTCATGTATTCAAAGGAAAAGGGAAAAAAATGAAAATTTTACCATACTATTTACATTGATAGGGCTTATCTCCAGTGTGAGGCTTTTCATGTACAGGAAGATAAGTGGAACAACTGAAGGCTTTACCAGATTGTTTACCCACATTGGCCTTCTTTCCTCTATGAGTTCGTTCATGTGAGTGAAGGTGACTGGACTGGGTAAAGGCTTTGCCACACTGCTTACAGTCATAGGGCTTCTCTCCAGTATGAGTCCTTTCATGTATTTTAAGGCAAGTAGAACTACTGTAGGCTTTTCCACATTGTTTACATTCATAGGGCTTTCTTCCTGTATGAGTTCGTTCATGTGAGTGAAGGTTACCAGATGTAGCAAAGGCTTTACCACATTGTTTACATTCATAGGGCTTCTCTCCAGTATGAGTTCGTTCATGCACTTTAAGGGGACTGGAAAAAGTGAAGGCTTTTCCACATTGTTTACATTCATAGGGCTTCTTTCCTGTATGAATTGCTATATGTGTGTTAAGCTGACTAGATATAGCAAAGGCTTTCCCACATTGTTCACACTGATAGAGATTCTCTCCAGTATGTGTTCGTTCGTGTATTTGAAGGTAAGAGGAAGTAGTAAAGGCTTTTCCACATTGTTTGCATTCATAGGGCTTCTCTCCCGAATGAGTTCGTTCATGTATTAGAAGGTGAGAGTAAGTAGTGAAGCGTTTTCCACATTGTTTGCATTCATAGGGCTTCTCTCCTGTATGAGTTCGTTCATGCGTGTGAAGCTGACTGGACTGTGTGAAGGCTTTCCCACACTGCTTACATTCATAGGGCTTCTCTCCAGTATGAGTTCGTTTATGTATTTGAAGGTAAGAGGAACTAGTGAAGGCTTTCCCACATTGTTTACATTCATAGGGCTTTGTTCCTGTATGAGTTCGTTCATGTGCATGAAGGTCACTAGATGAAGCAAAGGCTTTCCCACATTGTTTACATTTATAGGGCTTCTCTCCAGTATGAGTTCGTTCATGTATTTGAAGGTAAGAAAAACTACAGAGGGATTTCCCACATTGTTTACATTCATAGGGCTTCTTTACTGCATGAGTTCTTTTATGTATTTGAAGGTGACTGGACTGAGTGAAGGCTTTGCCACACTGTGTACATTCATAGGGCTTCAATCCAGTATGAGTTCGTTCATGTATCTGAAGGTAAGATGAAGTAGTGTAGGCTTTACCACATTGTTTACATTCATTGAGCTTCTCTCCTGTATGAGTTCGTTTATGAATCTGAAGATAAGAAGAACTAGTGAAGGCTTTTCCACATTGTTTACATTCATATAGCTTCTTTCCTCTATGTGTTTGTTCTTGTGTGTATAGCTTAGAGGATATAAAAAAGGCTTTCCCACCTTGTTCACATTGATTAGGGTTCTCTCCAGCATAAGTTTGTTCATGTTTTTGAAGGGAACTGGAACAACTGAAGGCTTTTCCACATTGTTTACAACTCATAATCTCCTCATTGTGAGATTCTTCACGTACTTTAAGATTAGCCACACTAATGAATGCATTTCCACATTGTTTACATCTGTAAGCCGCCTCTCCAGTGTGAGTTTGTACATGTAACTGAAGATAATTTGAAGTACTGAAGGCTTTCCCACATTGCTTGCCTCCATATATCTTCTCTCTAGTATGAGATCGTCGAGATTTTTCAATACACCTGGAACAAATAAACTCTTTTCCACATGTCAAACATCCATACAATCCATTTACAGTGCACTCTGACACATGTCTTTGAACATTTGTGAGAGAAATAAAGGATTTTCTGTTCTGTTTAAATTCATATGGCTTTCCTCCACACTCCTCATCCTCATGTGGTTTGTTTGCAGAGAGAGATATGATGTGCCTGTTTAGGAAAACATTATATATGAAGACCTGTCCACACATACTGCTTTCACATGGAATTTCTAGCAGGAATGTCCTTTTAAGGCTAAGATTTGGAATCTCCCTGAAACATCTTTTTAAATTTTTCCAGAGCCTACCATAAGATTCCTGTTTAAAAAAAAAAAAAACAACTACAAGTACAATTTATGGTTGGCTAATTAACAATATTATATTATATTTATTTATAGGCATTGGACTTACACTAATATCTGGGAAAGTACTGGTTTTCTGTCATGTCTAAACTGTTTGAAAGTCAATATCATGACTACTTTGTGAGACTGCTTCTCCATAGCTACTATGAAAACAGTGGTATTATAAATGCAGTTTCTTAGCTCTGTCAATTATTTTGAAAACACTAAATGTGTATCTTACATTAAAGTTCATGTTTTGGGTTTAAAAAGAATAAATATAGTTCATACCATGCTTGCTTACTTTCCTTGTTTGTAAAATTATAGGATATGCTAGGATTCCTTCAGGGCTCTCTGTTTCCTCTCATGAGTACAAGTTACCTTAGATCTATCCCAGGATTTGTGTTCTGATCTTCAGCACTTTGGTTCTCCCATCTGAATCCTAAAACGTACACCCAGAACAGTGATTAAAATTATCATAATTTCAGAATGGATTATGGGATTTATAATATGGATAACTAAAACATAAAAATAATAAAAGAGGAAAAAAAAAGAATTATGGTATTTATGCTGCACAGTGCACTGACATTAGGCCCCATTTTTTCCTAAAAGTACTTACTCCCTTTCCACCTTCTAAATCCATGAGTGGGTGGGTGGGGGGACTCCCGGGTGCTCTGTCTTTCAATATGTAATGAAACATCATCCTTACCTATAGAAGCCAGGTTTCTAAGGACTTCCTGCATCACATCTCTGTAGAGATTCTTTTGGGAAGGATCCAGCAAAGCCCACTCCTCCTGGGTGAAGTTCACAGCCACATCTTCAAAGAACACTGAGGTCTAAAATATCATCAAAAAAGCACATAAAATCAACGTAGTGCAGCATATAAATGAAGAAAATAAAGGTCTATCAACAATTTTTAAAAATTTTTAAAAAGCGGGGGTGCTGGGGCTGGGGCTGGGGCTCAGCAGTAGTGCATTACGTGGTATGTGTGAGGCACTGGGTTCGATTCTCAGCACCACATATAAATAAATAAAGTAAAGATCTATCAATAGTTAAAGATAATAATAATAAAAATGTAGTGCAGGCCATGAGAGACTGAAAACATAAGGGCTCTATTCTAGACATGTGAGATGTTCTCATGATTCTATGGTCTCCAAGTATTTAGTCCATATTTGTACTCAGGGCTGGGACTGTAGCTCAGAGACAGAGTACTTGCCTAGCATTTGTGAGGTACTGGGTTCAAGCCTTAGCACGGCACAAAAATAAACACATAAAATAAGGCATGCTATCTGTCTTCAACCAAAAAAAAAAAAAAAAAACCTGCTTTCTGTCTACACTCACTTCCTCAAAGAGAGGCATTCCAATATAAGATCTAAACTGATCCATAAAAGTATCAGCAGAGCAAAAACACCCTTCTCATTGTGAGGCAAAGGTATAATAAGGTATGCACCCAGAACACCCCTAACATCTTAATAGGGTGCATGTCTAACACCACCAGTAATAATGAAGCCCTACTATCTCATGTTGGAAGAGAGGTAGTATTAGTCCTGATAGTGTCTATGCTTACAAAAGGTTGCTGACAAAGTTGCATCTTTGCTGGATAGGGGAACTGAAAATTTGGGAAGGATCCCAGCAAACTGAATCTTTACTTTCCTTTGGAAATTCTATTATTTTGTTCCACTCTTATGTTAGAACCTAAAGAATCAAAGTCCTTCCCACCAAAACAGAACCCTCTGAGCAAAGAATCTAGGAACTGCCCTAGTAGACCACATTTCATCCAGGTACTCACAACATGGTAACTGGGGATTGAGCTCATCCTGTGTGACTACAGCAAAAGAATAAGTAGAATTTGTAGGTACTTTACTCAACATCAAATTTAACCAACTAGTAAGCAACAACAGTGATCAATAAACAATTTGATAATTTCTTCTGATTAATATCAAGATACAGTTGGATAAGTGTCAAATACCTTTACTGACATTTAACAAACAGAATTTCTAGTAATCACCAGAAAGTACTTTTCCAAGCCAAATGAAAATAAGAAATGTGTAACACCTATCCAACTGTGGTAGACAGCAGACTATTGGCTTTTCCAATACACACTCATGTGCCACATGACTATGTTTTGGTCAAAGACATTTGGGGTTAATAATGGGCTACATATGCATGGTTATCCGTAGTAAAGGGATAACTGATGTGTTTATAGTGATGGTGGTACAAACAAACATACTGCATGATCACCTTTGGTATCTTGTTACGTAAGATGCTGTGCAAGGCTGTACCTGGGAAGCACCGTCTCCACAGAGCCTAGGTCTGTAATAGGCTATTCCTTCTAGGACTGTGTAAACACACTTTGGTGTTTGTGCAATGGTGAGAAAGAAAATGAATTTTTAAGTTGATAATTTCTTCTGATTAATTATCTAATTATCTCTCTGCTAATCTTATGCTATTTCCAATAGTATATCTTAGATGTTCTTTATTTATAGTCTGGTGTCACTTAAACATTGTGACTATATTAAATAAAGAACATCTAAGATATACTATTGGAAACAGCATAGAATTAGCAGAGCAATAAACTGAGAGAACAAAAGAAAAAAAAATCAGTGCCTTGGAATTCATATAGATGAGTAATAACATAACAGGTAAGGTATACAAGTGGAGACATTCACAAGCAATTCAGAAGATGAGTCAAGACAAACTGGTATCTAATTTTTAAAAAATGCATTACTTCCCTCCATTCCATAGACAAAATATAAATTCATTACAGATTCTGATGTGAAATACAAAACTAAAACACTTTCAGAAGCTTACAGGAAATATTTTCCTAGAGGAATAGGGAAAACATTTTCACATAACAAGAGTAAGCAATAATGAAGAATGATAAATTCAAACATTAAAATTAGAGGAATAAAAAGATGAAAACACCTGCAAGAGAGGAGACACCTGCAATATGTGACACAGAGAGTTAGGGTGCCGAGCACGCGGCTCAGGGGGCTGAGGCAGGACAATCAAATGCAGGATCAAAGCCAGCCTCAGCAACGTAGGAAAGCCCCGAGCAAATGGGCAACAACCTGGCTCTAAATAAAATATTAGAAGAAGCTGGGGATGTGGCTCAGTGATTAAGCACCCCTAAGTTCAAACCCTGGTACAGAGAGAAAGAGAGAGAGAGAGAGAGACGGAGAGATGGAGCACGTGCACACACACACACACACAGACAGACAGAGAGAGACAGAGACACGGAGAGATGGAGCACATGCACACACACACACCAGGGCCCAGAGTGAGAATAATCAACATATGACTCAAATGGGAAATAGCCAGACGTGGGACAGAAGGTGAAAGCTGCCTATGGAGAAAGGACCACCTCTGGGTGAAGAGAAGCCCAGGAGAAGGCCAAGCAGATGAGCACTGACACCCACTGCAGACCCAGCGCCCCTCAGTCAGGATGTGGGTAGTGGGGAGAGCAGGACGGCTGCCCGTCTAGTGGTATTTCCTCACACCTGAAATTTACCATGACCTGCAGCCCAGAGACTTTCTCTGTGTATTCTTAGGGGTCCTCACAAATTCACAACATCTTACCTCCTGAACTGCTGCCAGGCTCACACAGTCAAGATCACAAAAAATTGCCCTTTGCTGCCAGCACAGGGAGGAAAAGGAGCCATTTCCAGCACACCCAGAGAACTCTATCTTCCTGAGCCTACATTCAAAGGAAACTACTTCTCCAAGGCTGAGTCACCCAAGACATTATCAGCAAAAACTTGTGGGGAAAAAGAAACACTGAGCCCAGCTCCCCCTAATCTTCCTGCCTAGGTCAGGGAGGAAGAAGGGCTGAGGCTCTTAGAAACAAAGCCACAAAATGATCTCGTAAGTAGAAAATTCTAAACTGTGTATGCGCTGAAGAAGAAAACGCAAATGCCTGGAACTAAAAAATAAAGCCAAGCTGTACACCACCACAATAAACACAACACACTTACATCCACTAAAACACGAGCAACCTGAAAGCCATCACAGAAGATCAAGAGTAAAAGTATTTAGAAATTACCAAGAAGACTTTACAAAAACCACAAAATATTTCTGAAAGAAATGACACACATAAAAATATCTAGCATTTGTGAGCTCAAAGAATTGTAAATCTGCCTAAAAATCAACCATGAGGTCAATTCACTGCCTTTCATACTATCAGTGACATTTTTATACAAAATAAGAAGTACTATTCTAAGATTCACGTGGAATTGAAAGAAACTCAACAATGGAAGAAGAAAAATAAAGTGTAAAGTGATTTCAAAACCTGCTTTAAAGGAGTAACAAAGGGAGTGTAGAACTAGTTTAAAGGCAGACACACAGAGTAGTGAAGGAGGACGGGGGACCCAGGACCATGCAGAAACACAGAAGGAAATGATGTCTCTCAAGGGGCCAGGGTCATTCCAGGGGACCAGGATCTCTGGAGAATGAATGGCTGGGAAACTGGATGTTCATGGCAGCACCTAAAGTCAGATGCTCCCCTCACAGCACACGCATACATGAGATCCATGGGGACCAAAGTCCTGAAGTAAGATGTGAACCTCACCAATTCTTAGAGAAGAAAATGCAGACCACATGTCTCACAACACTGGATTTGGGGATGATTTCTGGGATATAGTAGCATCCATTTGATTCATGAAAATAATAGATAAACCTAATTTCACCAAAAATAGCTTTTAGTCCTTTCATTTGCAGCAACGAAGCCCGGACTATTGAATACTATCTTAAGTGAAATAAGTCAGGAAAAGAGAGAGAGACACCGACTGTGTGTTCTTATACAGCAAAGCTCCAAGTTGGCTTCACAGAAAGTACAAGGGTATTCACCAGAGATGAGGAGGAGAGAAGAGAGGGGACAGCAGGGCTGGGTGAGGAGGCTGGGTATCAGGTACCAGAGTCCATTCAGGAGGAGCCAGCACTTCTGCTCTCCAGCAGAGTAGGTGGCCATAGTGTACAACATGTCACCGTGGTTTTCATAATAAACCTGGGGAGCAGTCCACTGACCCTAAGAAATGATAAATGTTAGGAATGATGCAATGAAACAGGTGTACAACCAGCTCACTGCACCTCATCCACATGTGAAACTTAAAAGTGAATCGGCATTAGAAAGGAAAATATTGTCCTTCATAGGACACCGTCAGCAAGTGAAATGGCACTGGAAGGAATTGTAGAAAACACCTGCACATTGTGCATCTGGAAAGGAGTTGAAAACTTGAAAGAATGAAGAAAAACTAGCTGACAAAGCTCAACTCCTTCTGACAAAGCTCAAATCCTTCTGACATAAGGATGCAAACCTAACTGTAATAAAATGAAACACCTTAAAAAGTGCCAGAGATCTACAAAACCTACACTGAAGGCTACACTGAAGGATGAAAGGCTGTCTCCATGACAACAAAAACAAGTCAAGGATGCCTGCTCTCACCACTTCCAGACAACACAGCAAGAGGAGTGCTACCAGGGAAGCAAGGAAAAAAATCCCTGTGTTCCAGACTTCAGCCAACTCACGTAGCCCCAGACAGTGGGACAAAATCAAGGACTTCACCAAGCAGATGGAGGTGGGCATAGGCAACTCAGACTCAAACTATCACCTGCAGAGAGAACAGCCACAGGCACCAAGATGGGAGGAGACAGTGCAGCCTCTGCACCCTTTACTGAGGTTCTCCCCATCAACACTGACCACCTGACACAGTGCACATCTCATTTGCATTCCTGCTTCCTAGAGTGTCTACGGCAAGTGGACAAGGATATCGGATGGGGTTTTTTCAGATGCTGCTCCTACCAGAAAATTGGCTACATTGGTGTAGATGGATACCTGATA